GTTGAGGGACATCTAGGTTGTTTCCAGATTCTGGCTATTACAAATAGAACTGCTACCAACATGGTTAAGAAAATGTCCTTGTATAGTTGAGAATATTTTGGATATATGCTTAGGAGTGGTAAACCTGGATCTTGAGGTAGCACTATTCCTAATTTTCTAAATGGATATTATCCATATAATATAGGATAAACATACTAAATTCTATACTCCTAAAGAAGTTAAACAACAAGGAAGACCCTAGGGAAAATGTTCAATTCTCATTCAGAAGGACAAATGCTATACACATCGGAAGCAGGAGAAGACAGGACACAGGACAGGAGCCTACCACAGAGGGCCTCTGAAAGACTCTATTGATCGAGGTATCAAAGCAGAGGCTGAGAATCATAGCCAAACTTTGGGCAGAGTGTAGGAAATCTTAGGAAAAATGAGGGAGATAGAAAGACCTGAAGGGGAGGTCCTCCTCCCCTTCCATCTGACCAGAGGGGCGGGGAGGATATGAGGAAGGGAGGGTGGGATTGGAAGGAAATGAGGGAGGGGGCTACAGCTGGGATACAAAGTAAATAAACTGTAATTAATATAAAAAATAAAAATTTAATTAAAAAACAAAAAAGAAAGACCTGGAGGGGACAGGAGCTCCAAAAGGAGACCAACAGAGCCAAAATAAAAACTGAGCTCTGGGGCCCTACAGAGACTTACACCTCAACCAAAGACAATGCATGAAGAGGGCCTAAAAGTCTGGCTCAGATGTAGCCCTAAGACTCAGTATCCAAGTGGGGTCCCTAGTAAGGGAAGCAGGGGCTTTCTCTGACATAAACACTGGGACAAGCTCTCTGAGCACCTCCTCTTGGGGAGTGCAGCCTTAACAGGCCACAGAGGATAACAATGCAACCAGTCCTGATGAGACTTGATAGGCTAGGATCAAATGGAAGGGGCGGAGAACCTCCATTATCAGTGGACTAGGGAAGGGGCATAGGGGGAGAAGAAGGAATGATGGTGGGTTTGGGAGGAGATGAGGGAGGGAGCCACAGAGGGATACAAATTGAATAAATTGTAATAAATGATAATAAAAAATTTAAAAAGAGATGGAAAACTCGACATGTACCAAAATATGGGTGAAACTCGAAGACATTATTCACTGAAATAAACCAAACACAAAAAGACAAGTATATTGTAACATTACCTATAGAGTTGTCACAATCATTGAGACCAAAAGTAAAATGGTTTTCAAGGACTGAAGAAAAGAAAGAATAAGACATTGGTTTTAACATTTCAAATTTCTAACATGAAGAAGTTTTACTAATGGTTTGTTGTGGTGGCTGAATAAACATTATCCAGATATTTAAAAACCATTCAACTCTACACCTAAAAGGGGCTGAGAGTACATTTTATGTTATTTTGTAATCTAGAATCATAAAACAATAAAAATACATTAATTTTATCTTTTGAGTCAGTTGATTTATGATTTTTGGAGGGTGGTGTGGTTTTTGTTTGTTTGGTTTGTTTTATTTTTTGAGACAGGGTTTCTCTGTGTAACCTTGGCTGTCCTAGACTCGCTTTGTAGACCAGGCTGCCTTCGAACTCATAGAGATCCACCTGTCTCTGCCTCCTTGGTTACTGGATTATAAGCATGTGGCACCTCACCTGGATCTGATTTATGATTTTTATAAAACAAGCAGAAATATATTTTATTATTATTATTATTTTATTTTTATTTTTATATTGATTACTGTTTATTCACTTTGTATCCCAGAAATATCTTTAGCTATTACCTCTGAGAAAATCTAGTAGACAATTCCAGACCAGGCAGCCAGGTCCCTGCTAATCAGAGTTCCCTTCAGCATCTGAAAGCAGTCATGGTAGTGGCAGTAGTAGTGTCAGAAGTAGGCACACAGGTAAGAAAGGCTTTTTAAGCATTTGCCAGGTGCTAACCACTGCACTAACATTTTACATGTGTTACCTAACTTTCAGTGCATTAATACCACCTAAAGTTTATATTTTCATAATTTTATAAATAAGAACACAGAACAGAAATTAAACTGTGTCCTACTGCTACATCTATGTTCTCCTCTGTCACTATGATCTCTGATTTATTTGTTACTGAGTCAAGCAAAAAACAGGCACTCAACTGCTATGTTGAGTAAAATAAATAAATAAGGGGAAAGGAGTGGGGGAAAGGGAATTATATTTAGGCATGCTATCTTCTCAACAAGTATAGACTTTCTACCTTTATTTATTTAACCCTGAAATCACAGGACAGTTGCCAATGTGTCCTGGAATCCAGTGGTTTGGCATTTTTTTCTTTGAGTCCACACAATCATTGATGTGCTGAGATCTGTCTGCTTTATGGCAGTCACTCTAGCTCATGGACATTTTTGGTTGGTCTATTAATTTCTAATTTTGAGAATAGCAGAGGGATGTAGCTTGATACTAGAATAGGGAGGGAAAAAATAGGTCCATGATACTGGCCTTTTGCCCACTAATAAACCAAGAATCAAACAAAAACTGTCCCTATAGTAAGGAAATTTCCAAGTTCCCATGATTATCATCAAGAGGCATCAAAATTTGAGAAGCCTAAACAAGACATAGTGATTCAGTAGTTCTTTCTGGCTTAAGACCTGGACAATCCTAATGTGCTTACCTCAAGACATACAATGTAATATTAGAAAGCCCCACAGCAAGTCTTAGCTGTTCTGTTTTGACTTTACCTTTGTTGTGTATTTGCAGTTGGGATTTAGTGGTGAATAGGAACCATAATTATAAATATGTATATAGTAAATACAGGGTCCATTATTTCTGCTTAGTAAGACAACTATGCATTCTTAATATGTTCTGATCTTACCTGACCCAAGGAAAAGTCAACATTTTCTTTCTGTGAAGTTTGTGAGCTAGCAATGACCAAGGCGGGAGCACAGTGGGTATAGAAGGCTGAGGCCTGGATCATCTAAAAGAGGGTTTGCTTATCACTATGCTCCAGAGCTTCCAGTATGACAAGAAACTTAAGTATGGATGCCTCTTCCTTTGTCTGTATAACAAGGAGAATAAAAATACTTTGCTCATAGTCAATAAGAATCTGTATAAAGCAAATACTGGCATTTTAATTATTGATCTGTGACAATGAAAATGGATAGGTTTTACATCGTCACTTGTTTTTAGAAACAAGATTTATCATTATTTTGTTTCTATCTAGCTGGCAATATGAAAGGTAAAGTAAAGCTCGTCAATATTTACTCAAAAGGCATTAACAGGTCACATGTCTCTAGGGCACAGTCCTCTGCTTATAACACAATGCCAGATGTGTTATTCTATATGAATTCATTCAACATGTCTTGACCAACTACTATGTAAACGGTACTGTGTTAAGCAGCCACAGGCACTCTGCTACTCCCTTTGTGTCTATTTTCCTATTTCCCAAAATGTTAGTTCAGGCCATGTGATAATGAATTATTATTTAAAAACCAGATTCAATGTATGCTAATTGAAGGAAAAATACAGCAGTTCTAAGACTTAAGATTTGTGTTACTAAATTCTCATGAAAAAAATCCCTATAGTTTCTAATATGTTAAGAATAACCAAGCCATTTGAACAAGTTTTCAATATCAGGAATTTGGGACAAGTGAATAAATTAATTAAATACCTTTATATAAAATTATAGCTGTATTTCACTTATAAAACTTCACCTAAGTAAATTCAATAATAATTCAAACTCTTAAAGATATTCTAATTTGTCAGAACATAAATATAGCATTTAACAAAAGAAACTTAATGCCACTACCAATAACTCTGGAGAAACACCAAGGAACTAGATTTGATTAAATGATAATGTAGCAGCCTTAAAACTTCATGTGTATTTTAGCCCCTCTTCTAGAATTTACTACTTAATTTTCACTTTCTTTCCCCATCTCTTCAAGGCCAACTGCAGGAGACACACATGCACAAGTAAAATCTTCTTACAATATACTCTTACATTTTCTGAATGTGCCCCATGTGTCCACTAATAGCCAAATGCTTTCAAATCTGTTCAGCTAAATGGATCAATAACTACATCCAGCCCCACATAGTGGGGCTGCCAACATGGTGAAATCAAGCCAAACACAAAATGTCTGTCCTAGGACAAAAATTATCAGCACAGTGTTTGGGGTATAGAACATTTACATTAGCTAAGGTAGTCAGGATATACCTAAAATATTTGAGACACATAAACAAAGAACTAAATAAAATATTTCGGCACTATAAGCAGTGTTATGTTAGACCAATGTAACAGTCCAAAGTCTACATCTCTTATCTTTCCAACTAAAGACTACACAAAACACAAATACACAACAGCACAGGCAAACTGCTGACAAGCTTTTCTGTGTTTCCACTCATATGACACAGATGTGTGCAACAACTAAGCAGGTGCAACCAAGCTTTGGAGAATTCCTTCCTGTTGCCCAGGAACCGCACACCGCATGGCTGAAATTTTAAACATGTGTAAACATCCCCTCCACCTCTTCTTTTATCTGGTGCCTGAGACAGTGAAGAATGCCTACAGCCACTCCTTACCCAAAGCAACCTCCACAAATACAAATTCAAAAACATCAATAACGTTTGATAATAAAACAGCAATGTTGCAAAGACACTGGTTCTTCAGTGGTCTGACCTCACAGACCAGTTGCTTTAACAGTACAGTTCTATAAAATACTCTCTAATCTTCACCGATGAATGCTTTATAACTGAAATTCTTCTACCTCATCAAATCTTAGAAATGTGTATCTGAGTCTTACAGTGAACTGCAATGCAATATTTGTACAAAGTGCAGTTCTTTGCAACTGTCAATATTTATAAGTCATCAAAAAATTAACATTTATATATTATGACATGTATAAGCAATTTTAATAAGACGTAATAACTTTTGACAGGATGGATAGATAGATAGATAGATAGATAGATAGATAGATAGATAGATAGATAGAAAGAAAGATAGATAGATAGATATAGCCTTAGGTAATTCAGATACATACCTGTGCAGCTATATAGCACAAACAGACTTGTAATTTATCAGGTACTCTGAAATGTAAAACAAAGATGTCATCTGATTAAAAATTAATCAAACCAAAGCAAAAATCAGAATTTATAGGAACAATTTCTGCAAAAAAGTAGGAAACACTATAGTGTGTGAAGAACATGGAGTTGTTTCTATTTATATGACCCACAGGTATTTCAGACCACCCTAAAGTCAAATATATGAAGGAATGCACAGAGTACCTCATCAAGGGACTGAGACTCACCATGGCCTCTGCAATGCAAATGTTCTCACTAGAGGAAGAGGAAAACACTTAAAAATGATTTTTTTTCTTGGTGTTCTTCCAGGACTAATGCCTTGCTAATACAAATGACTGCTGCTCTCTGAAATAAAACTCCTCCAGTTCATCTGCACTCACTCTGCTACAACACTGATAAGCAGGAAAAGGGCTTCCACAGAGCAGTTCACAGAAAATGCAGAAATAAAACTCGGAATGCTCCTTTACTTTGTTACAAGAAATCAGTTCAAGGCTGAGTCTGTCATTAGGACTGCTCACCACATGCAGCATACTGTATAGTGTCCCGGCCAACACACTGGCACACTACCAATAAAGCAGACACGGATACCTAGGATCACGAAAGCCCAGATGAAAGAATAACAATCACACTTGAAAAAACCTGACTGTGGATGGAAGATGCATTGTAACAAAAAGGCCAAATACTAAAAAAGCTAAATGTTCCAAACTAAAAGTTTCATAATTCTTTCTGAATGCAAAATAAAGCATTTATGCACATCTAAGCATAGCTGATAATAGCAGCATGTTAAGTTCAGTAAACCTTGCTCAAAGGTGTGTGTAGGTGATGACTTTTATTAGGGCTCAGTAAAATAACATCATACATAAAATTTACTGTATGTAGGTATCTAGAAGTCAACATTTGAAATTTTTGCTCAATAGGTTTAGGTCTAGGCACCTACTCGCATTATAGGAAACAAACAGAAATCTATGTTAAAAGATAATTTTAAGGATGGGTGAAATGGGTCAGTATGTAAAGACATTTGTTGCCAATTCTAAGGCAACACTGGCAGAATTTGATCCTTGGGATCCATATAGTGGAAGGAAAGAACTGACTCCTTCGGTTGTCCTCTGACCTACACATGTGCCTTGACTCCAGTTCCAACATACACACATGCACACACATAAATAAGTAAGTAAGTAAATAAAATATAAAAGATAATTGTATGGCACTGGAAAATTATAAGAAACTTAAATGCCTAACGAAAGAAAAAGTAATGTATATCGCATCCATATAAATTAATATTTCTCTGAAACTCACAATGTACCTTACACAGTTTAAATTTATGGAAATCTTCAAATGTGTATTATAATAATATTTTATATAAGCATGTATAATGTCAATTACATAGGGAGTATGACACTGAGGACTACAAAAATAGAATACATACATATAAATACCAAGATATTAGATCTGAATAAGACTATCAACTCTTTAAAGTATATTCTGCTTAGGTTAATAGACACCTAGTTATCAGCAATAAACATTTATACCTACACATTTATATTATATTTATATTATTTACTTTTATACTAGTAAAATATTAACTGATAAGAAGATGTAAAAGAAAAATTATAAAGTTCCATATGGAAATCATGAACCTAACTTTTCCTTGAGAAATAAATTAATTCAACCACACATAAAATCCACTAGGTGTGCCTACAGAGAGAACACTCTGCCTCCTCATCGGGGTACACACAGGGTCTTTTTCATCCCATTACTTTAGGATCTACACAGTAATTCAATAACACATTTTTAATCATCTTAGTAAAACTTTTTAAATTATGCAGAGTGAAATGATGGCAAGAACAACTCAGGACTGAAAATCTGTTGTATCTAGTACAGACTAATTTATTCACTAAGCCAGCAACATTCAGTGAGCATCTACTGTGTACAAGGTGATGCATTTATCACCACTATGTGATGAAAGACAGAGTAGGACACATCCCCATAGTGCCAACCACCTAAAAGCACTAAACATACAAAGGCATGGTTTAAATAAAGGTAAAAATATAACAAAGCCCAAGGTATTTCTGAGAGGACTGGTACATTTTAGAAGAAGAAAGCATATGGCACATTTATTCTTTTCTATTGTGGAGTGAAAACTTATGTAAAGGTAACATTGACTGAAACTTTACACTCATCAGTATGCATCACTTACAAAATGTATTAATAAATTAGTATTTACATTTATATTTGTGGGATACGCTTATTTGTAATGGTGATACAACATAAAAGGAGATCAAAGAAATACTGACCCCATCTAGAGTGTGAGGTGTGCAAGACTGCCTCTTGCTTGTTTCATGTAGCTTTGCCAATTCTGCAAAGCTACATGAAACACACTGCCAATTATTAACAGACTAGAGTTATTTATCAGCCAGTTAAGTAAATAAGTTAGTTACTTGTTAATCCTTCTTGAAGGCACTGCTATTACAACATCACCAGGGAAAGAAAAGGAATTAGGATAGACTATTTCTGCTAGACAGATAAAGTTGATATAGTTAATAGAGTCTCTCCATAGCTGGTCAGTTTCTGGTCAGTCATAAGTTTATTCTCTCTGAAGCCAGTGTTACAGAATAGTAACAAGGTTGATGTCAATGGGGTACATCATGGAGAAGTGGTGACACATATGAAAACAGCAACTTCTTTGACCACTGCTCCCTAATCCAGGCTTATGGAGTTCTGGGAAGCAGAGTTACCATGTAGGATGATGAGTAAGTGCTTACAATTCAGCACTAGAGACAATCAGATCTCAGGCAACTTAAGTATTCCCTGTATTTAAAATGATGATCATGCTACCTACCCTAGAGGATTTATGGTGCTTCCTTCTGTAGGCATATAAAGTAATAAGCTCAGTGTATAAAATAAGTAATTCTTTACTGGGCCCTGATAGTAGCATCACAGTTGCATGAAAAGAGAGAGGATATCTTATTATAAGCTAAGGAACTAAACTAAACACAAATCCAGGAAGTAAAGACAGCCTACTGTGCAAGCATTCTGTAACCAAAAACTGATCCAAGAGGCAGTTGGATACAGAACTAGATGTTCAGTGAATATTTTACATGGAACAATCCATAAAAATACTAATAACCACAAAACAAAATTAAAAACATAAAAGGAGATCAAAGAAATACTGACCCAATCTAGAGTAAGCACTGTAAGCATTATTCCTATTACTGAAGAAAAAGACAGTAAAATCTACTGTAAAGGGGAGACCTGTGACACAGAACTTGTGAGAGTGGCCAACTAATATCTGATTTGACTTAGGGCACACTCCAAAAGACAGAGCTCATTCCAGCTACCACTTGTATGACTAAGAACTAGAAAATAGACGGCACTGATTAATTTTTTTCAATATAATGACTCAAAACAATATTCTGCTATACTCATAGATCAGTGCCTTCTTCAGTCATCATCAAAGAGGCTTCCTTCAGCAGCAGCTGAGAAAAGATGCAGAGACCCACTACTAGATAATGCAGAGAGAGCTTCTAAATGAGGTATCTCTATTAAATCCCTCCCCTCGGACTCAGGGAACTCGGTGGAAAAGGAGGCAGAAAGAATGTAAAAGACAGAAGGGAAGGAGGACACCAGAAGAACAAGGCCCTCTGAATCAACTAAGCAAGGCTGATAAGGGAACTGAAGCAGCAAGCCCAGCACCTACACATGTCTGGATCAGGTCCTCTGTGTGTATATTATAGCTTTCAGCTTAGTATTTTGATGGAACTCCTGAGTATATGAGAATGAGTGGATCTCTGATTCTTGTGCCCACTCTTGGGATTCATTTCCTTCTGTTGGACTGCCTTGTCCAAGCTTGATATGATGATTTTCCTTTATCTTATTATATTTTACTTCGTCGTGTTTGGTTGCTATCTCTTAGAAGCCTCTTCTTTTCTAAAGAGAGACAGAGAGGGAGTGGATCTAGAGAGGGGAGTTGGGGAAGATGGGAGGAGTAGAGGATGTGGAAACGCTAATTACGATATATGAGGAAAGAATCTAGTTTCAATAAAGAAAAATGAAAAAAAATTATGCAATATATTCTAATAATGTTTCTTCTCTCCCAACTCTCCCCAATACTCCCACCTCCCTAATCTACTCAACTTCAAGTTCTCTCTCTCAAAATTAACCAACTGAAATAAAAACAAAAACAAAAACCAAACAACAAAACAAACTGAAAACCAACAGGACAAAATATTATTAACATTTTAAATATGTCTTCTTTTGAGAAGTCACTGATACAATGTAATTCAAAACCTGATTAATATATATATATGTTTCTCCTGTAATCACCAGAGAATTTGATTACTTGTTATTACTGTTATTACATTACATTATTGTTATATTATTTAATTATCAATAAAGCCAATAGTAATTTTGAAAACTGAAGTGTCTTACTTATCTTATTATTTAAAAGCAAATTTCTATGAAAAGTAAAAATTGCTTAGTAAACTTAGAAAAGTCATACTTGGCTGTTTTTCCAGAGGTCCTGAGTTCAATTCCCAGCAACCACATGGTGGCTCAACCATCTATAAAAAGATCTGGCGCACTCTTCTGGCATGCAGGTGTACATGAAGACATAACATTGCACATATAATAAATAAATTTTTAAAAAAGAAAAATCATACTTACGTTTCTAAGTTACTAAGCTAAATTTAACCTTTCAGGACTGAAAGACCATCTTCCTATCATATACCTATTAATTGAGAATGAGAAATTGAACACGAAAATGACTATCTCAAGTGATTAATCCAAACTTGAAAGATATTAAATATCAAACACATGATGTATAACTCAATAAATTCTTAGAGAAAGACAATACCAAGATCATGGCAGAAGGATTATGACCCAAAAGAGACTGACACAGATGTGAGATTAGCGATGGAGGCACAATGGAAGGAGACGAGATGCCCTTGTATTCAAGAATAGCACTGGCAGGTTTCATGATTTCTCAAAAGGCCTTTAGTGTTATTGTC